CAGAGTGAAACCTGTCTGCCCCTCCACAATAAAAGATAAAATAACAATGGTGGGCCAAACAAAGCATCTCTAAAGTTAAGCTCAGCCTACAGGCTGTTAATCTTTAACCTTTGTCTTAGTGGGGTTTTCCCCTTTATAATATACTCTCTCTTTTGATCTCCACAACAAAACTTTGAGTTGACTATTTTACCCGTATTTTACCAAAGGCAAACAAGCTAAAGTTGTGAAGTCAATAAATAATAAAATCAGGAGCTCAAGCCACATACTGTATCCCCTGATATTATATAGCCTCTCTATCTTATATCCATGGCTCTTAACTTTGTATTTGTGTGTAGGGAGGCAATATTAAGAAATGAAGGACAGCTATAAGTCTCTATGAGAATTTGATGAAAACTATAGGCGAATTACAGATCCTCTCCACAAAAAAATACATACTTAAACATACATATACAATACTTTACATTTTCTTTCTTTCTTTTTTTTTTGAGTTGGAGTCTCCTCTACAGGTTGGAGTACAGTGGCACGCTCATGGCCAGCCCAGCGTCGACCTGCTGGGCTCCAGTAATCCTTCCAATCTTTCTTTTTTGTTTTTATGAGTTGGAGTCTCACTCTATTGCCCAGGCTGGAGTGCTGTGGCATGCTCACAGCTACCATAGCCTCGACCTGCTGGGCTTAGTCGATCCTTCCACTTCAATCTTCCAAGTAGCCGGAACTACAGGCATACACCATCAAGTCCAGCTAATTATTTATTTATTTATTAAAGAGATGAGGTCTCGTCAAGTTTCCCAGGCTGGTCTCAAACTCTGCCTCCCAAAGTGCTGGGATTATAGGCATGAGCCACTGCACCCAGCTGTACAATTTCAAGAGGTTCATAGGTCCCTAATGCCTATATATATATATATTTGCCTATAGTACATGAGATTAGCTGCAAGAGACAGAAATGTACTCAAAACATCTTTAGCTTTACTTAATGACAGTCATGAATTTATAACCAATAAGTCTACCAAAACTATTTTCTTTCCTTTCTTTTTTTTTTTGTTTTAGTCAGAGTCTCACTCTGTTGCCCAGGCTGAAGTGCAGTGGCACAATCATGGCTCACTGCAGTCTTGATTTCCTGGGCTCAGGCAATCCTTCTGCCTCAGCATCTCGAGTAGCTGAGACTACCAAAAGCTATTTACATTTCTAATTATTCTACTGTTAGGATTAATAAATTCTACTTTTTATTACTCATTATATCAAATAGTATAGTCTTTCATCTTCAAACAAGCTTTAGAGTTTCAAAAGGTTAAATGTAGTTCTAAAACTAAGAGTTTGCTGAATAATCTCATGTTCCTGCTTTCCATATGTTTCCAAATATCAAATGTATTTCCCTCTAAGTTGCTACGATTCCTGCCTAAGTAGCATATTTTTCTGTTCTCCTTGGTTTGGAAACCCCACCACCAACTTTACCATTTATTTATTCTCTCTGGACTTAGCGCTTTTCTGATTATGTTGGCTGTAGCATCACATAATGTCAATATCTTCATAAAAGATCTACAGTTACTGCCATCAATTTGTTTTCTAGATTTAAAGGAATTAAACTAACTCCAAAACCTACACTCTTTCTAATATACCACATTAATGACAAAACCTTTGCTGTAAATATATCTTTACTTCTATTTTTCATTAATGTATTTTTTGATATTTGCTCACACCAGCTTAACTACTACTTTTGGGGAGAATCCACCTAAAGCCTCAAACAATCTCTCTGTAGTCACTGTTCATTAGCTCATCATTTCATGACAGCAAAAAATGATATAATTTACAAATTTAGGATTTCATAATTTATTCTCATCTGAATGTAAATTGTAAAACTAGTACTAGCCCCAATGCAAAATTGATTCTAGTAAGTCCTGCTATTCAAATTCTTCTACCCTGTGAAGCATCTGTTGCTAAGCATTTAGCTTATAATTGATAGACCATACCATGTCCTACCTACCACATGCCAGACTATCTTTTTCATAGGCTTTATTGCCTCACTCTGATATGTTTCAGAATCTAAGTAAATTACATTCATTAGTATCTCTCATATACTTTTGAATATAACTCCTAAAAAATATGATGACTACTACTTATTCTCAACCGGGTGCCAAATATTATACTAGGTTGCTTATGATCTTATTTAATCCTTACAAAGTCCCTGAATTGTAAATATTATTATCATTTTACACATAAGACAGCTGAGGCTGAGAGCTTAGAGAATGTTCCTAAAGTCACATTACATATGATAGGTGGTGAAGGACAACATTCACATCCAGGTTTATCTGAAGCCTCAGCATTATCAGACAGGCATAATGAGCCACTGTGCCCAGGCTATAATCTGAGTTCTTTATTTTTCCCCTCTCTTTCTGAGTTCTTAATAGTAAATAAAGACAGAATATTACATTCTCCAATATTACATTGGCTCAAGGGTTTGTTATAAATTAAGTCCATCTACCCTACACGAACATCAGATCCACACCATTGTACGGTTTCCTTTACTCTATGCTCTTTTCTTGTTTTTTGTTTTCCCCTTGAGTCAGGTCTCACTCTCATCCAGGCTGGAGTGCAGTGACATAATCATGGCTCACTAAATCTTGACCTCCATAGCTCAGGCAATCCTTGCACCACAGACTCCCAAGAAGCTGGGACCACCAGGTATACACCACCATGCCCAGCTAATTTTTATATTTTTGTAGAGACAAGGTCTCGCTATATTGCCTAAGCCAGTCTTGAACTCCTGCCTTGGCCTCTCAAAGTGCTGGGATTACAGGTATGAGCCGCTGTGCCCGGTTTACCCTCTGAGTTCTTAAGAGTGAATGAAGCCCACACGGGAAATGAACTTGTTCTCAAGGATAATGACATGTCGTATTTAAATAATTCTAAAATGATTCTGTGCCATTACTACACCTGCTTCAACAACAACAACAAAATGGCTGAAAACCTTTCTTATGTCTTCCACAGGACCAAATGTGTATTCAAAATCTGGGTTTATTAGTGTGGTTGTTTTGTTCATTTTTATTTTCATTCCTGTAATTGGATCATCTGAGTCTCTTACTTTCAAGACACAATTCTGGCATTTTAAGAAACTTTATAAATAAAAGACACTGAAGCACCTACAAGACAATTTTCTAAGGTTATTTTGTGTTCACTTAATTTTGGGTGTGCGCCCTTAAAAAGGATATACCCAAGTTATATAAAAATATATTCTTAGTCCGGACGCAGTGGCTCACACCTATAATCCCAGCACTTTGGGAGGCTGAGGTAAGAGGATTGCCTGAGCCCACAGGTTCAAGGCAACTTGGCAAGACCTCATCTCTACAATAAATCAAAAAATTAGCTGGGCGTGGTGGCACGTGCCTGTAGTTCCAGCTACTTGGAAGGCTGAGGTGGAAGGATCACCTGAGCCCAGCAGGTCGAGGCTGCAGTGGCTGTGAGTGTGCCATTGCACTCCAGCCTGGGTGACAGAGTGAGACTCCTACTCAAAAAAAAAAAAATAAATAAATAAATAAATAAATATATATATATATATATATATATATATATATATATATATATATATATATGTAATTGAGCGATTTTTTATCATCTTAAAACTTGTAACTTGAAAATTAATACTAAGACTACTGCATAGCTGAGAAAGAAGAAGAAAGGAGACAGAAGATATTTTTGGCATAGAAAAACCAGGTAATAATCACATCATATTTCTAGGAAATGGGACTGAAGAGAGAAACTACAGAGACAGCACAGCACTAGCTGTCTTACTGTAGGGAGCTTTGGTTGACAGAGTATAGAAAAAAGAAAAATAAACAAAAGACACTGTTGAAGACCTCTTCCCCAGCTTATTGTATCAATTGGATGTTAAATTTGCTTAATAAAAACCCTTTTGTAAAATGCAAATATATCATCTGGAGGGTTAAAACCACTGGTTCTTCATACCTTTATTCTGATTTACTGTAACTAGATTGTCTACAACTACTGGGAGAATGTGTGTTTTAACTGGGTGCTTTGATTGAACCATGGAACATTTCATAGTAAAAATCATAAAGGTCTGTAAACAGCCTGAAGACAGAATAACTGAGAAAGGCAAAGTGATGACATACTAAGGAAGGGCAAGGCTGGCGAAAGGAAATACCTACTTTACAATTTTGCTACAGAAAAATAAGAGGCTATGATTCAATGATATCAAAGTTTCCGCCTCGCTCTAGAATTCTGAGGGCTATGTTGCAAAAAATGAAGGTTTTACATATGAAATAATCCATGTTGTACTTTCCTTCCTGGAATCTGTATCACCCAACTATTAACGCAAAAGAGCTCATGTGTCTACCCCAACAACATAAAAGAGAATACTGCACTAAAACTGGTTCCAGAGGATGTAAGGAAAACCAAAGGGGAGAATCACAGGGAGGGAAATATCTTCCAAAGAAAGAAATTAGGAACACACCTTCCAACACTGTATTTTACAACCGACTAAAATATAGGGTCCAAAGAGCTACAGGATATTTGGGATGGTTCGGAATTTCTCCCCAGAACACATTAAATAAGAACCCTCACCAGCCAGAGGTGAGAAGATGAAAAGAGAGAAGGTCGCCCCCACCCGCTTCAAGGCATTCCTTTCCCCCTGCCTTTGGCTCTTGGTCCCCTTCCTTTCGTCACTTTATTTTCCTTCCCACCTCTGCATCATGCACCTGGCGCGTCTGTCTGCACCGTCACCCCTGCAAACCTTCTCTAAAAGGAAGTTTCCCTTCCGGTCTGCTGGTCTCGCTTAACGCCATCTGCCCAGGGTTTACTCACACCTGCTTGACCCCGACTCCTTCCACCCACACCCTGGGACTCCAGGCAGGGGAGCGGAACGCGCGCCCCATTCTCCAGCAGTAAGAGGAACTATGGGAACAGAACTCGGAGGGGTTTGTTGCTTTTACCCCCATCCCGGGAGGCTTCCCCTTCACACACACCCCCCGCCACGGGCGATTCTCACTCACAGCGCACAGTGTGGAAGGCGCAGCGCGGCTGCTTCTCGAAACTCTCGCCTAACTTGAGAACCCGCTCCCGACGGTCCAAGCGTGAAAGTCCCCCTGCACTGTTCATCATTGTTCTCCGGCTCCAACTTTGCCTCCGCCACCGGCGCTCACCACCATCCGCCACCTCAGCCTGAAGCAGCTGCGCGGGATGCAACCAGCCCGGTCGCCTCAGACTCCGCCCCGCGCCAGACGCACGCGGGCCCGCCTCTCGAGTTCTGATTGGCTGATGGCAAAAGGTGCCCCGCCCCTTGACCCGAAGCTCGAGGTCCAGCCCCCAGGATCCTTAGCGCGCGGAGACTCACGCTGCCCCGGCAAGGCCACAAGCTTGTGGTGTGGGGTGGGAGCTGGGTCCTTTGGCCGAGGAACACGAAGCGAGAGTCAGGTAACTGGCCTGAGTTAGCAGCCGGAGAAGGAGAGGCCCCCAGCGTGCCGGGAGGCCCCGCCACTAGCTCCTGGACCAAGTGAAGCGGCCTGTAGGAGCTCTTAACGGGAGTGTGTCCTCGCCTCGCCATTTCTGTGGCGATGTATGTGGAGACAGGCCCGGGAGGGTCAGTGTCATTGGTGTTTTGCCCAAGGCCTGGTGGCGCCGGAGCCGGATCTAGGATGCGGAGCCAAAGAGCTCGCGGCCCAGTCTCGTCCATGGACCTGACTGGCAGCGACGCCATTACCTCGGCAATCGGGCAAGCGTTTTCTGACTTTTTTATGCCAGAGGAAGTTCCCGAGGGTCTTAGGACGTAGGTCTTAGGAGGAGGGGAACGTAGAGAGGAAAAACAAAAAGAGAATTCGGGTACAGCAACCGCAGACGTTTAGGATCAGCGGTGACTGGATTGCGTTGGGTTTCCTTTCATTTTCATCGCAGTGGTCCGTGGAGCCAGTGACAGGCGCTGCCAGGGAGACTTGATCCCGAACTATCCAGGCTGGAACCGGTGGTCTGCCAAAAGGGTAATAGCCTTAAAATTGATGCGTAATCGCCCCTTTTCTTCTTTTTCTGTCAGAGTTCATGAATTTAATGTAAAGATGGGAGAAGTTGTGGCGTTAGAGGAGAGGCACTCAAGGGAAAGTTTACCAATGGTTTCCATAACAGGTGACTTTTCAGGGTAATTATGTAAGTATACTTCCCTACTTACCTTCCACCCCAGGCAGATTTGACAGTGTATTGTTCCAGGTGGGTAGGTGAATGTGTCCCTTGACCTGTTTGTCTAAATTCTACCCTTTTAAACTGTACGAGACTGTTTCCTATTGTAGTTAAGCGCGTGGGTTCTGGAGCCAGAATCCGGTTCCAGTTTGAACCCCAGCTTCATACGTAACAGTGTGACTTTGTGCAAGCTAATTAAACTCTCCAAATTTAGATATTCTCATTGTTAAAATTGGGGAAAACATCGTAATACCGATCTCTTACAGCTGTTGAGATGAATAAATGAGTTAATACCCTAAAGCAATTTGAAGAATTCCTGGCACATAATAAGAGCTCTCCAAATGGATATTGTTAATGCCCAGCTTTATTGCCGTGCTGCATACAATAAGACCATTATTGGGGGCTGCCTTCTTTTCTAAATCTAGAGGAGGTAGGAATTGCTGTTTTGTTACAAGAAAACCATTTCAGAGAAGACCAGTCCTCTGACATTATGGTCTGTATTCTTATCATGTGTCATCCATTTAGCACTTAATATATTTTATATACTTAAGTATTTTATTTTATATGTATGTGTGTTATGTATATAGGCATACATACTTTTTTTCCCAACCAGAATACTACCAGGGAATCGGTCTTATATAAAATCTTTGTGGTCTTTGTTAAATACTGCTCTACACATGTTTGGTGATGATGATAATGTTTTGGTGATGTTTTATTATGGTAGCTAGGAAGGCATGTTTTGAGCCTATTTTAGAAAGGCTTTCAGCCAGAAAGCTGAACTTTCCATATTGTAAAAAGGAGAAAAGCTGAAAGTCAAGAAACTGAGTTTCAGAATGCCTGAAGTCTGTGCATTTATTAATTCTTTTCACATGTGTTTATTAAGAAACTACCATGCCAGGCACTAGTCTAGCCTCTGGGGGTATAGTAGTGAACCAGAGAGGTAAGAAGGCAGCTGCCAACAAAGGTAACTTGAGGCTACTTCTTGAAGCTTACCTTCTGGTGTAGAGTTTCTCCAAACATATCTTTTTTTTTTCTTGAGTTGGAGTCAAAAAACCTGTTGGACTCAGATGATCCTTCTGCCTCAGCCTTCTGAGTAGCTGGAACTACAGGCACAAGTCACCACGACTGGCTAATTTTTTGATTTATTGTAGAGATGAGGTCTCAAACCCATGGGCTCAGGTAGACCTCTCACCTCCGCCTCCCAAAGTGCTAGGATTATAGGCATGAGCCACCGCAGCCGGCCATCCAAACATATATTAAAGTAAACTATGTTGTACTAGCTCAAGAAGAAACAGATTAATGAAACTAGAGTTCAGAAATATACCCTGTATATGTATATGTGTATATGAAAATGAGATATTTTAGATTGTTTCTGTTATATCTGTTCATAACTAACTACCTCATAAATTTATGACTACTATGTGTCATAAAGGAGAAAATTTGCTCTTTCTTCACCAACTTATAACCCCATCTGATTTTTAAAAAAAAATTTAGATTCCTAAATCATGCAATCCACAAAAAAAACCTTACATTTGAAGATATAAAAATAAGGAAAACAAAACCATAAAAACACTAAAAGGATTAGGAAAATGTTTTTTAGCTCTTGGGGTACAGAGAGCCTTTCTAAACATGGCATAAAATGCAGAAGCCATAGAGGGAAAGATTGTTATATTTGACTATATAAAAACTGTAAAACTATGGTAAAAAACCTTAATCAAGCTTAAAAAAAAATGGCAACCAAGGAGAAAATTTTATAGCCACCATAAAAGATATGAGGTGGACCCCCAAAAACTCAAAATTTATTTATTAAAAAGTTGTGGGGCAACCCCATCCAGTCCCCTCCCACTGTGGGAGCTTTTCTGTTTTCTCAATAAATCCTGCTTTCTTAAAAAAAAAAAAAAATTATGTATTCTTACATATTTCAACTTCAGTCACTTTCAAAGTACTTTTCATTTGATGCGTTACACCTATCTAGATGCTTTTTCCACTGCCCAAAACAGTTTTTGAATTCATCAATTTTGATTCTTTTTAGAGCTGCCATTTTTTGTTCATTTTTTTCCACATCAGCAAAACATTTCCCTTTGTGAATTTTTTTCATCTGGGAAAGAAAAGAAACAGTCACTTGAGGTGAGATCAGGTGAATGAGGAGTGTGACACGGGGGTCATACCAATTTTGGTCAAAAACTGCTGAACTCAGTGTGGTGTGGGCAGGTGCATTGTCACAGTGGAAGAACCAGTTTGTCACAACTCGGGACATTTCTTCTGCAAATTGTGATGCAATCTTCTCAAAACTTACAGATAAAAACTTTGGTTAAACATTTGATGCAGAGGAACAAATTCTGAGTGTACTACAAGGAACCCACCCTCCAAAAAAAGGATAATTTCATTTTGTTGGGAGATCCCCCTCATAAAAAATTAATATCTATGTATGAAAAGCTTCTACAAAAGAATAAGACAAGCCGACAAAGATATGGTTGATATGAATAAAAGGGGTATGAATAAAAAATATATTAAAAATCAGTAGTCTAGTGAACATGAAATGTGCCTGACCTCCCTAATAATCAGAGCAATACAAATTAAAACATGATTATACCATTTTTCATCTAGCAGATTGGCAAAAATGTAAATGATAACATGTATTAATGAAGGTGTAGTAAAATGAGCACCCTCATACATTGTTGGTGGAAGTGTAAACTGAAACATTTACTTCAAAGAAAAATTGTTATGTGTACTCTGTGATCCAACCATCAAGGGAAATTCATCCTGCAGAAATACTAGCATGAGTGTGTAAAGATGATACATTGATGTTCACTGCAGCATTGCAATGACATTCAATCTGAATGACTTCCAGTGGAGAGGATCTTAAATATATTTTGATGCACTCTTACAAGGCAAGCATAGCATAATGCAGTTATTGGAAAGAATGAGCTAATTGTATGTACTCTCTTGGAAAGTTTTGTGCTTACTTTGTGCCAGGAGTTGCACTGAACTTTCTTTACATATTTTCAGTGAACCGATCTTTTAATGAGTTATATTGTACTTAGTAAGGGATATATGATTGGAAAAACAAAAACTGTTTTTCTTTTCTGACACCACCACAATCAACACAGAAGACTATTATGACCAAATGTGTGAGGATTTCTCCCCACCAACAAGCAAGAAATTCTGTAGTGGACACTAGTCGGTTATCCAATTCAATTCTGACACTGTCTACCTAGAGGTAAGGTCAGATCTTCCTGGTTGAGGGCTCAGCCCCACAAGACTCTCCCTAACTTTTGATGCCAATTGCAAACCCAGATTGTTTTATCAGTGCTTCTGACAGACCAGCTATTCCTCAGGAATCCCATGATCCCCTCCTTGGGTTCAGTTAATTTGCTAGAGCAGCTCACAAAACTGAGAGAAACATATTTTCTGGTTTATTATAAAGGATGCAGATGAAGAGATGCATAGGGAAAGGTATGGGAAAGGGCATGCCTTTGTGGGTATACTACTCTCCAGAAACTTTCATATATTCAGCTATCCAGAAGCTCTTTTACCCCATCCTCCTGGACCTTTTATGAAAACTTCATTGGATAGGCATGATTGAAACATGGTCAATAGTATGGAAATGTGATTGGTCAAAAAGGGTGTTATCTAATACTAAAAGACTGAGTGGGGAAACCCAGCAAGGCCTTTCTGCTCAGATTCTTCTTGGTTGCTATGCAGCATTCCTTCCAACATGTGGGACAAGACCTTATGAAATGGAAGTCTTAACTGGGCTCGGTGGCTCAGCCTGTAATCCTGTGCCTTGAAAGGCTGAGGCGGAAGAATCGCCGGAGCCCAGCAGGTCGAGGCTGCAGTGGCCGGGAGCGGCCACTGCACCCCAGTCTGGGCGACACAGTGAGACTCCAACTCAAAAAAAAGAGAGGTCTTACGACCTACAGTTAGGCAAGGTAGGCCAGAGAAGGGCAGGGAAGATTAGAATCCTACAGTGAGGAGAAAAGGGAGCAGATGTAGGGACAGAAGTGAGGGAGAGATTCAGACTTCTGAGGCCTAAAGTATCCCAACATTATTACAAAGAACTGTAACAAGGGCTCTGGGAGTTATGAGCCAGGAATCATGGTAAAAAAAACAGAGAACTCTGGAAAATGGAGATGATCATATGCTCTACCTCATAGTCCTGCTGTGAGGATTGAATAAGATGATGTGTATAAAATCATTTAGCACAGTGCTGGCTAGGGGCAGTGGCTCACTCCTGTGTTCCCAGCACTTTGGAAGGCAGAGACGAGAGGATTGCCTGAGCCCAGGGGTTTGAGACCATCCTGGGCAATTTGGCAAGACCTTGTCTCTAACAAATCAAAAAGTCAGATGAATATAGTGGCCTGCACCTGTGGTTCCAGCTACACGGAAGGCTGTAGCAGAAGGATCCCCTGAGCCCAGGGGTTTGAGACCAGCCTGGGCAACTTGGCAAGACCTTGTCTCTAATAAATCAAAAAGTCAGATGGATATAGTGGCCTGCACCTCTGGTTCCAGCTACATGGAAGGCTGAAGCAGAAGGATCCCCTGAGCCCAGCAGGTCGAGGCTGTGGTGACTGAGCATGGCACTGGGCAACAGTGTGGCTCCAACTCAAAAAAAAACCAAACCCAAAACATTTAGCACAGTGCTTAGCTCATAGTAAATAATATATGCTAGCTTTTATTACAAATAAGGAAAGATACTTTTTACTAAATGATACATTTGAGCTACAAGTACTTTAAAACTTTATATAGAAAAGTTTTAGCAACAAATTTGGATGTGAACCTTTTTTTATTTTTAGATACTTGATTGATTTACTATACTAATAATAAACAATCTTTGGTCATCGTATAATTACATAACATTTCTGAGCCTTACTGTGTTGAGAGTCCTTCGCTAGGAAGGTTCACAGGACTCAATATATAATAGTAGTCACAGCTATAATTTATTACAGTAAAAGCATATAAAGCAAAATCAACAAAGGAAAAAAGTATATTCCATGAAAAACAGGTACAAACTGTCCTCTCCCAGTGGAATTACATAGGACATACTTAATTTCTCCTGCATCCAGTTGTGACAACACTTATGAGGTGATGTGTACCGGGGAAGCTCACTAGACACTCAGTGACCAGAATTTTATTGGAGAATAATCATGTAGTTACCCTCTGTTGGCATGTACCAGAATTCCAAGACACCTGGAAGAAAAGCAGGTATTCAGCATAAACCACACTGCTTTTGTAAACAGTTTAGGTACAGTGAGCCATTCTTCTTAGAGAATGGCAGAAACCCTTCTGAAATTCAAGTTCTAAACACCAGCTAAGGGCCAAACTTAGTGTTAGGCCTGCCACGTTGGCTCTTTTTTGCAGTTTTCTTGTATGGTAAAAGGAAGTTAATTTCTATCCTAGAATTGTTTTGCAGATTAGAGAGAGAGAGAATGTGAAGCTGTTAGCACAGTTCCTGATTTTTAGTGAGTGTGCAATAAAGAGTACTGTGGCTGTTATAGGTGAGGTATGAGAATATAGAGCTCTTTCAGAGTTACACTGGTTAGAAAAATCAGTTTACTATAAGGAAGAAATGAAAATCTGTGCTTTGCTTCTCAAACAAGGCAAGAAAAGCTAATGTCTCGTTTATATCAAGATTATATTTCAACAAACATTAGTTAGATAGTGAATATTTTAGGGATTTTTAACCTTTATTCTCTGATTCTGTTAAAATATAGGTGATGTGAGAAATGAAGCCAAGTACAGACCCAAGGATCTTATCACTAGCTGGTGAAGTTGCAAAAAGTCCTGAGCATAATGTCCCTGTTATACTGTTAAAGTTAAAAGGTAAGATAATTTTTTTGTGACTGGACAACACTGTTTAAGTAAAAAGCATTTCCATGATTTTTACAATTTTAGCATTTGTTTCCAACTTGTTCAGAGAAATTTAAACATAATGACAGAGCAGCAGTTTTTCCTTTTAACATATTTTTAGTGAAAATTCAACGTATAAAAATACAAATAGCTCTTGGATGTATTGAGCAAAAATAAGTATATCTTATTTCCTTTTGCTTTAGAAATAATAGACAACATACCTTTAGGAAGCCCAGAGTTGATGAAAATCAAACGAGATATATATGGTCATGAGCTCATTCATTATTGCCTCTTGGTCCTCGGTCAAGATGGTTCTCAAATCCAGGGTGGTTGGACTACAGTTTGCCAGATTGCACAATTATTAAGGTAAAATGAAGCAGTAAGTTAGCTTGTTTTTGAGGAATATAGTAGTTGATTCTGATTTTCAACATTTGCTTCTTTTTTATTCATCTGCCTAACAGGCATTGACAAACTCCGGTGATAGGTTTTGGCTCTGCTTTTCCTTCCATACCATATGTTATTATGTTATTATTCATAATTCTGTGTGAGATTGTTTGTCTAAAATTTTGCTCCGTAAGCTTCAGGAAGATGGTGATCAATTTTTTCTCTTACTTCTGAGTCCCAAGTGCCTAATGTACTTTATTGGCTAAGGAATATTTGAAGAAATTAAGACACAGGCTCTATACATGAGAAACTTACAGTAGAGATTGGATGGCAGTCACATAAAGTAAGACATAAGACAAAATGAAATAGGTGCTAAAATGAAAGTACATAAGCAAAGTACTATAGGAGAACAGATACAGACACTATTCATTTTACTTTGTATCAATTTAGATCTCTCTCTTTTATTTTTTTTTTTTTGAGTCAGAGTCTCACTCTGTTGCTGAAGCTGGAGTGTAGTGGCATGATCACAGCTACAGCAGCCTTAACCTGCTGGCCTCAGGCAATCCTTCCACCTCAGTCTTCCAATTGACTGGGTCTACAAGCACGCGTCACTATGCCTGGCTAATTTTTTAACTTAATGTAGAGATGAGGTCTCGCCATGTTGCCCAGGCTGGTCTCAAACACCTGGGCTTAGGCCATCCTCTTGCCTTGGCTTTTCTTTTATTTCTTTTTTTTTTTTTTTTTGTGGGAGTCTCACTCTGTCTCCTAGGCTGGAATGCAGTAGCACGCTCATGGCCACCGCAGCCTCGACACTGGGCTCAGGCGATCCTTCCACCTCAGCCTTCCAAGTAGCTGGAATTACAAGCATGCACCACCACACCCGGCTAATTTTTTTATTTATTGTAGAGATGCAGTCTCGCCAAGTTTCCCAGCCTGGTCTTGAACCCATGGGCTCAGGCAGTCCTCTCACCTTGACCTTCCAGAGTGCTGGGATTATAGGTGTGAGCCACCGTGCTTTGCCCTATCGATTTGGCTATCTCAACTGTATATTTCATTAAGACTTAAATTCTATCAATGTAATTTAGAAGCAGTAATTGCTAATCTATTGCTATGCTAGAAATTAATAGAAAAGAGATGAAAATTATTTTTAAAAGGAGGCAATAAGATGAACCAAGTGTTCTTAGTACCTAAGCCACTTCTTGATTAAGTAACTGAAAGTGGGTGTTTACCTATCTTAGCTTTCTCTCTTTTTTTTTTTTTTTTTTTTTTTTTTTTAAGCAAACCATTTGATTTTAATGAACTATTCCCAAGGTCTGGGTTTTGTCATGTTACACCATGTTGTGGATCCTAGCTTTGTAAGCTGCTTGCTACAACTTTGTTACTAGGTAAAGGCCAAATTTAAAATATATACAAAGAACAGTTAAGAAATATATATAATAATCTTTTTTATGCTTTAGTTTTCAAGAAGAATGATTTCTATAAGTAAATAAAGCCTTATGTTTTCATTTTGATTAGATATTGTAGCTGATGACAATATTGATTAAGCTAGGCTCTCAGGTGTGGACTTCAAGACTTAAGAAATTCCCCTATTTATGAATGCACAAATAAACATAATTTCACTTATTCATGCTCTCAATCAAAATAGATACTCTTAATAATTAGCTTTAGAAACCAAAGAGAAAAGAAAATCTGACACATATCAGCATTAGCCCATTAACTTTATGAATCAAAGTCCAAACAAGCAAAATACAGTTTGATATTTATAAAAATTAGCCACTTAGGTTTTTAACATGCTCAATCTGTAGTTGTTTTTACATGTCCGTGTCTGCATATTTTGTGAAAAGACTCAAACAGCAGTGTTTACTCATTACATGCATAGAAACCATTTTTGGGTTTGGGGCTGTTTTTGTTATTAGTCTACACAAATATTAATACTTTGTATTATTGAGACTTCAACTCATATCCAGGGAGTGACTTTTATGTGCAGTTTCAGGCGAATCCAGTTCTCTAAGTGGCTCTTTCTACTTCTTTTTTTTTTTTTGAGTCAGAGTCTCACTCTGTTCCCCAGGCTGGAAGGCAGTGGCACACTGAAGACCTCTGCAGCCTCCACCTGCTGGGCTCAGGCAATCCTTCTGCCTCAGCCTTCCAAGTAGCTGGAACTATAAATGCACGCCACCACATCCAGCTATTTATTTATTTATTTATTTATTTATTTATTGTAGAGACATGGTCTTACCAAGTTGCCCAGGCTGGTCTCGAACCCCTGGGCTCAGGCAATCCTCTTGCCTACGCCTCCCAAAGTGCTGGGATTACAGGCATGAGCCACCATGCCTGGCTGGCTCTTTCTTCTTTAATGTTGTTGGTTTTTACTGTTTTCCCTTTTAATATAAGGAATCTGCAGGCAGATATTTTGCAAAAATATAAGATTCCTTATATTAGAAGGGAAAACCGTAAAAACAGATTCTACTTTCTATTGGAAAGTAGAGTTGGTATGAAATTAGTATTTTATTTTCTTACTTGCTTTCAGACTAGGCTAACCTAGCTATTTTGCAGCTACCAGATGACTAAAATGCATCAATTGACACAAATGCTATACATGAATTGAACTATCAAATTATCCTGTGACTTTTAGAGTGATTTTAGCCACTTCACTGAAAGCTTGTTTCTTTTTATTGTGAGTCAAATGTCTTTTATTTCATGAAGGGTTGAGATATAGGTTTTTAGGATATATAAATCTAAGTATAAGCAAGGCCCACAATTGTTTACTTTTCTAGAAAGCTGTTAGACTAATTTTCCAATGAAGTTTCTTTATTGACTTGGTAACAAAAGAAGGATACTAAAAACTCTCAGTAAAGCACAGTCTATAGAACCTTGAGCACTCAACTGAAACTTATTACTGACACAAATCTGTGCTCCTGTTTCAGCAATTGCTGTGTGGGCTTGGAGCTAGGGGAGGATGCAGAGGAATTTTACAAGGAATTGCTTCCATCAGCTGTAGAAAACTTTCTACTTTTGGCGAGACGATTGCAAATGCGTTTCATCAATACAGCTAAGGTACACATTTAGTGTTTTGTATTTTTTAGCCCAATCAGTTTAATTCTTGAGATGCTCTATGTTATTTTTCAACTGTATAGTATTTTGGTGAAAATACAGTTAGAATGACATATTTAAACATTTAAAAAATTACAGCCAAAAAAAAGTCATCTAAATATTTGAAGATTTTAAAATGCTAACTGAAGGATCTGCCTTACCACCCAACTTTGGGCAGCACTTATAGACACTTATTTCCATAGCATCTTTCTAAATCATAATTTCTACTTAAACTAACAGTAGGGGAAAGTATATTCTGTAGGCCTACAACTTTTCTAAGTAGTTCCAATAATGAAGGGAAATAAAGGTGAAATTTCTGTTTGATCTTTTATATCTTCTCTAATCAAAAGAAATTTTTTTTTGAGTTGGAGTCTCACTCTTTTGCCCAGGCTGGAGTGCAGTATGTCACGCTGCTACCACATTCTTAACCTACTGGACTCAGGTGATCCTTCTGCCTTAGCCTCCCAAGTCACTGGAACTACAGGCACGTGCCACCATGCCCAGCTAATTTTTTGATTTATTGTAGAGATGAGGTCTTACCATGTTGCTGAGGCTGGTCTTAAACCCCTGAGCTCAGATAATCCTCTTGCCTCCGTCTCCCAAAGTACTGGGATTACAGATGTGAGCCACTGCGTCTGGCAAATGAAAATATTTCAAACCAAACAGAGTTCTTTTCAATTAAAATATTTCTTGAGTGCATTGTGCTAGATGTTACATATACTCTTTTTCTTTGGCCAGTGGGTTTAGAAATTTGTTGCTTAATTTCCAAGTATGTGAAAATTTTCTAGGTATTTTATTGTCAATTTCTTATTTAATTCTATTGGGGTCAGATAACATTCCCAATGTCATTTCAATCCTTTGGAATTTTTTTCACTTGTTTTATGGCCCGCCACATGTTTTATCTTGGTAAATGTTCCATTTGCTTTGCACAGTTCAATCTTAACTAAAACTCATGCTTATCAAACCATATAAAGGTTTTGATATGCACAGATTTCATTTAACAGGTGCCAGGCAGAAGCGGGGTCTATTTGTATGTTAACGTGAACCCTCCAGTTGTTGTTTGTAATTTCTTTTTTTTATTTTTTATTTTTGAGTTGGAGTCTCACTCTGTCGCCCAGACTGGAGCGCAATGGCCACTCCCAGCCACCACAGCCTCGACTTGCTGGGCTCCGGTGTTCCTTCCACCTCAGCCTTCCGAGTAGCCGGAATTACAGGCATGCGCTACCACGCCCGGCTGATTTTTTGATTTATTGTAGAGATGAGGTCTCGCTGCCCAGGCGGGTCTCGAACCTGCGGGCTCAGGCCATCTACTCACCTCAGCCTCCCAAAGGCGCGGGATTATAGGCTGAGCCACCAAGCCCGGCTTGTTTGTAATTTCTTAAATGTCAGTTAGGTCAATTTGGTTACGTTGTGTTGCTGAAGTTTTCTAAATTCTTACTGACTTTTTTTTGTCTATATATTCTAGTTTTTAGTGAAAAAGGTTATGCAAGTCTCCAACTGTGATTCTTGATTTGTCTAATTCTCTCTTTAGTTCTATTAGATTTTGCTTCATATATTTTAAAGCTCATGATTAGATGTGTGTCATTTCAGAATGTCATATCTTCTGGATGAATGAATTCTGCTATTATGAAATGGTCTTCTTCATCTTTAGTAATACACCTTATCTTGAAATCTACTTTGATTACCATTACTAATATTCCCACTCCAGTTTTCTTATAATTAATGTTTGCAGATACAGTATTTCCCCCCTTATCCATGGTTTGGCTTTTTGTAGTTTGGGTTACCCATGACTAACAATGGTTCAACATATTAAATGGAAAATTCCAGAAATAAATAATTTATGAGTTTTAAATTGTGCATTGCTCTGAGTAGTGTGATAAAATCTTGTGTCAGCCGGGCTCCGTGGCTCAGCCTGTAATCCCGTGCCTTTGGGAGGCTGAGATGAGCGGATTGCCTGAGCCCGCGGGTTCGAGACCCGCCTGGGCCCCAAGACCTCATCTCTACAATAAATCAGAAAAAATCAGCCGGGTGTGGTAGCGCATGCCTGTAATTCCGGCTACTGGGAAGGTCGAGGCATAAGGATTGCCGGAGCCCAGCAGGCCGAGGCTGTGGTGGCCGGGAGCGGCCACTTCACTCCAGTCTGGCGACAGAGTGAGACTCCAACTCAAAAAAAAAACAAAAAGAAAACCAGCATGAACACATAACTAAGAAATTATATTTGCAATGAGTGTTTCATTTAGAAAATACGCAAGGTTCCTTATAAACAATAAATTAAATGCATAATTAAACATACAGTTTTTCAGGACTTTCACTCATTCATTCATTCATCCATTTATTCAATAAATACATGTGACTCCCTATTGCGTCACCATATTCTTGATATTATTCAGTGAAAGAGATACAAAAACTAAAGACACACAACCTCTATCTACAAAGAGACTG